GGATTTTGATCAGAGATGAACTACTTATTGGTTTTCAGAGGTCTGGTAGAGAGAATTTGCTCGTAGGGTTTAACACACGATTTATTTTCAGGTTATTAAAAGCTCCAGTCTCGAGGTTGAGGATTCGCAGTTGGGAGACTGTTATTCATCTATTCATCTTGTGTACTTTTAAGTAATATTGGATTATTAGATAATGTTTTAAGGGGTCCTTGGGTTATGGGATTCCCGAGTTGTAATTGTTGGAGAGTTATTAATTAATGGAAAATATTATTTATTAGTTTTTCTTCAACGTATTATTTATTCTTTTTATTTCTTTTTGTACTCTGTGTTTGTTTAAATACTTTAATTGTTTTGATATCTCCTAATTTTGTGCGCGGACTTGATCAACCCGTGTTCCGAAATTAGGGGGTATCACATCATGTATCTCAGTGGCTTTACAATTGAGTTGCTCTGCTTGGTGCCTGCGAAAATGTTTGAGTGTCATAACCTGTACCATGGTGGCATATGAGTAGTTTTCTTTTTGGAACCTAATGGGATTTGGGAAGTGATGGTTAATTTTACTGGTTTTTTTTTTTTTTTTGGTTAAAAGGTAAGTTTGATTGTTTTATTGGATGTTTAACGAACTTGTTTTCTCAATCTCACGAACTTGCTTTGCCCAGTGGTTGCCATTTTGGGGGTGGAGAATTAAGTTTGGTAGAGTTATTTTTGGAAGAGTAAAAGGATAAAATGGGCATTATATTAATTGAGGGATGTTTTTGCACAAATTAAAAAGAATGAGGGTGTTTTTTGCACACCTTTTTAAATAAAGGGTAAAAGTGCTATGAAATGTATACTTCAGGAGTGTTTCTTGTACTTACCCCTTAAAAATATAGTATGTGTCTACCCTTTTGATGCATGTGTGCCATACTTGGGTCCCACACACATACATTGAATGGTTAAAAACGTACTCACGGGGTTTTAAAAAGCAAAGTCCCACTCCGTGATATAAAAATAAACAAACAAATAAATAAATAAATAATAAAAAAAGACAAAATAGTAAGACGTGGTATGCTTTCTAGATTTATGATAAACGTACTTTGGTCCTACATACATCAAATGGTCAAAATTACACTGGTCTAAAGTAGTAAAAGTCCATAAATGAATGGAAAAGAAATGAAATGAAATGAAATGGAGGAATATAGGGCTTGCTTTGTTTATAATTATAAAAATAATTTTTTGTTCTCGAAAAATTAAAAAAAGAAAATTGTATAAAAAATTCTACTTGAATCAATTTTCTTAAAATTGTTTTTTGAAAACTTAGTTATAAAAATGTCTGTTTTCAGATAACAGTCTTTTATAATTATCTGAAAACTGTTATCTATTTTTTGAATTTCTAAGAACTGTTTTCAGAGTTACAAATCAAGTATGCTCATAATTTTTTGGGTTTGGTATGAAATTTTAGAAGAAATGGAAGAATATATATATATATATATATATATAGAGAGAGAGAGAGAGAGAGAGAGAGAGAGAGAGCCTTAATAGTCCATTTACAATATACTAAGGTCACATTTAATAGGAGGAATGAAATATCCATGTTTCCATTTCCTTTCTTAATAACGTTTGGTGAGTGAAAGTCCTTTCCATTTCCTTTCTTAATTATGTTTGGCAAGATAAAGTACTAAACTAAAGTTAAGACATGCTTAAAAAGAAAGAAAAAAAAAATTGATCTTATCCTTTCATTTCTGCATCATGAAACTTAAGGGTGGTAATATTTGACTAACACGATTTGAATATAATACGAGATGAGTGAATTTGTAGAATAATAGTATTGTGTTTAGATCGACCCACATGATAGAATAATCATGTCTTAAAACAATATGAACACGATATGAAAACACAAATTGCCACCCCTCGAATCCAAGGATATACACAATTTTCTCTGCAAATTCCGTTTTCTCTTCCTTCTCATTAGTTACTCCATTATTGTCTGTTGCATAAGCCCTGCTTGATTGTTCTTGGTCAACGGAATTTTTTGCACCTACAATGATAGAGATATATATATTTTATGATTAGATTGACAAAAGAAAAAATTTATAAAAAAAAAATACAATGATGCTAGGTATCCAATCCATTTTTTGAAATAAAAATTCGCTCAATTAAGATTTTAAATTAGATTATTAGATTTGAGAATCATTATCATTTTAAATTATAAATTATAATGATGAAAATATTTGTTTCCGTGAATCATCATTATCATTATAATGATGAAAATAGAAGTGATTTCTTGAATTGGGCCTAACTAGTGTCACTTTTGTTTATTCATTTTTTAAGGTGATGATTGGGATGGAGAGCTGATTATTTTTGGACCTAACTATAGCTCTCTTCATTGAGTAAGCCCAATCCATTATCAAGGTGGGTTGGGTTGACTGGATTTAGGCCTAGATACAAAACATTGGTCCAAATAAACAGGCTCAGTAATAAACATCAATTGGGCCTGAGACATTGGAGATAATCATGTTTGATTTGCTTAGAAACATTTATATAACTGATTTATGAGTAGTGATACTGAACACTTGTACAGTGAATTATCTAATGGAATAATTTTAATTAGTTATTTATGCTAAATATAACTAAGTGGAGGACTCATTCCCTTATTTGTTATATGATTGACCAATTAAAAGAATAGATCTAGTAATTCATTATAATTATTAGGTGTAAGAATTCCTAGTGAAAGCCTAGATAGTGTAAAGTATAAACTCTCTTCCCCAGTGTATATTTGCTTGAACTTTCGAAAAAATAATTATATATATATATATATATACACACACACATAAAAGTTGGGATGAGTTTTGTGTCTTCATTCATTGTATGACACTAACCATGAACACTATACTAACTAATAAAGCTTGCATTTGGGAGTTTATTTATTTATTTTATCTTCAATACCTTTCTCACTTATTAGGATGTTCGAAAAAGTAGTAGACTTTTAAGAAACACGGTATATTTTGGCATAAATTAAGTTTTAGGTATACAACGAAACTCTCTTTCTTTTTCGAAACTGTATCACATACATCATTTGATCCTTCGAAAACTTGAATGACTAACTTTGTAATAATGGTATCATGGGTCGTCAAATACTCTATAATTAATTACAGCTAAACATATTCAATTATATCAAAAAAAATTATCCAAAGGTGATTTCAAGGAGATTCGAATCAATTATGAAAGTATTAAACTTTTTAACTTTACAAGCAAACATCGATGGTAATTTAATAATAAAATAAATTAAAATTATGAATATTTGATTTCTCCTTTTCTTCAAACTTGTGTATAAAACCTCAGTCCACTTCATTGCATAGCGATCTAGAGGACAAAATTTTAAAACAATTAAAATTTTTAGAGTCAATTGTTATTAATAAATATATATATTTTTAAAGAAAATAAATGAAATTGTCCTTAGAAAGAAAAGAAAAAGAAAAGTCCCGGAAACTTTTTTTTTTCGGAGAATAAGTTCTCTTCAAAAGTCATTGTTGAATCTTTCATATTTTTACAGCGAATTCACGGGAATATATGTGGACCAATTCATCCACCCTGTGGACCATTTCGCTATTTTGTGGTCTTAATTGATGTCTCAACATGATGGTCACATGTTTGTTTATTTTTTACTCATAATATTACATTTGCTAGGCTTTTTGTTCAAATCATTAAAGTGCAGGCACATTTTCCTGATTATCCAATTAAGACAATCCGTCTTGATAATACTGCTGAATTTTCTTCTCAAGCTTTTGATGACTATTACATGTCAGTTGGAATTAATGTTAAACATCCCGTTGCACACACTCATACTCAAAATGATTTGGCAGAATCTTTTATTAAAAAACTTCAATTAATTGGTCATCCTTTGCTTATGCGAACAAAATTACCTGTTTCTGTTTGGAGGCATGTCATATTATATGATGCATCATTAGTTCGTATACGACCTACTACTTACCATAAGTTTTCACCATTGCAATTTGTTTTTTGTCAACAACCAAATATCTCTCACTTACGAGTTTTTAATTGTGCTATATATGTTCCAATTGTACCACTCTAAAGCACTAAAATGGGTCATTAACGTAGACTTGGAATTTATATTGGTTTTGATTCTTCATCTATTATTAGATTTCTTGAACCCCTTACAGGTGATGTCTTTAAAGCTTGATTTGCTGACTAATATTGCTTAGAATGGCCTGTAATTGTGATATGGCTTGAAATGCCTTGAAATTGTTCTATTTTGATCATTGCACAAATCAATATGAAAGAGAAGTTCAGATGATTATTCACTTGCAAAATGTTGCAAATCAATTACCTGATGTATTTACTAATACAAATAAAATAATAAAATCACATATACCAATTACAAATATTCTAACACGAATTATTGTTCTTGAGGGACCTTCTGTTAGTAGTGCAACAAATGCATCTAAAACACTCCTTTAGCGTGGCAGACCAGTCAGTGCAAAAGATACTGTTCCTAGTAAGAAGAATCACAAAGCAAAATTGACATTCTTGAAAAAGCCACAAAAAAAGTAACAAATATTATTGATCAATCTGAAATTATAATCTTGTTGTCCAAAATATGGTCTAAATAATATTATATTAAATATTATTCAAAATATAATGTATATATAAAATAAAATTATAAAAACAAATGAATCTAATTAAAAATGGAGATTAAAATTTGATTTTATATCCTTAAAACAAGATTTGCATTGTTACGATGCTAACAAATTTAGTTGCGTTTACTTCCTAGGATAGATAGATTTTTCTTCCTTTGATGGTCAGAAGGCAAACCAAAGAAATGAGAGATTCGACTTGGGAAGTGGGGGAAAGGATGCACTTTTAGAAGTGGGATCCACATATGAAGACTTCAAAAGTAAGCCATGTAACCTTGGCGTGGGGAGAAAGGATGCAATGCTAGCTTACATCGAAAGCTTCTGATTGTGCCTATAAATATCCGTGTAAGTATTGCTCTGGGCATATAGAAGGTGAAATATATCAATGAATGTTCTTTTACTTTATCTATCTTAATATTACTGTATATATACATATTTATAATAGGAAACATTTTGATCCTAAATGAAATATGTGTTTTCTTTTCTTTTCCTCCAAACAAGATAACGAGTTATTCCATTAACGTCTGAGAGGGTTAATAAAACAACTCAACAACACCGTTCCCTTCTCTCTTTCTTTTCCACTTCCCTCCGCGCAGTTATCCAAACACACTACAAACTCCCTCTCTCTCTCTCTCTCTCTAATATGTCACTAATGTGATACAGTCACTCTCTATCTCCAGACTCCGGTGTGAATCCTGTCAAAAGTCTCATCCCATCCCGCGAAAGAAGAGAAACAATGTCGTATGTGCCTCCTCATCTCAGGAACAACTCCTCAGTCACAACCAAAACAATCCCAACAACCCTAGAAAACAGTTCCACTACTCATCACTATAACAATCTCAACTCTCACCTCCATCTATCCAAGAACACCGCCGCCACCGCTAACAACTCATCCTCCGCCTTCTCCAATGCAGCTGGCCGGGGTTCCGGCAGCCTCGCCGTCCCTGATTCGGTTTCCCTCCAGTGGAAGCCCTCGGAACGCGTGCTCCGTCTCACTCCCGAACAGGTTCGTCACTTTTCCTTTGATTTCGAATTTGTTGAATTTGTATCGAGATCTGAGTTTCGTTTAGGGTTTGAATCTTTGATTGAATCGAACGCTTGCTCTTTTTGTGCTTGGTAGGTTTCGTTTTGGTGTTCTCATTTTGCACTTTGACGCCTCCTTTGGTGTTCATTTGATTTCAGGGCTTCTCTGTTTATGTGTACTCTACTCTACTTGAATTATGAATTATGTTGTGTGTTGTGTTTCTTATAGAATTTTATGCTCCATTAGTTGCCGGAATATGTAATGAAATATAATTGAAAGCTTGTTTCAACTAATTTACCTCGAATTTCAATTCCAAGGTACTGATTCCATGCTCCCAAACATAGGGTTGTAGTAACTTCCTGAATCAGTGTTTTGATAATGGACCCTGAAAGCAATTTCATGATGTTGTAATAAATTATTAATGTGTACTATATGATATCTAGCAAGTAAACTTTATTCGTAATTCCATTCAACATTTTGTTGTATACTTGTTTTGAAACGACATGTGCCCTCAAGCTAAGTGTGGTTTCCTTGTGAATTTAGGTTTTTTGCTTGTTTATGAGAAGGATCGAACTTCAGTGGTTCTTCTTAATGTTTCGTGCGTAGTTTTACATAAATGAACAACAATGTTGTAATGCCACTAGAGTTAGGTGCTGCTTGATGACCAAATTCAACACTTAATTCCAAATGAATTAAGTGCTTATCCAATAAATTGTGCTTGATGACACAATTTGAATATGACTTGAAAAAAATAAATGCGGCTTCAAATGTGGTAAAATTTAAAGTGGTAGTGACATCACTAGTCAAACACTTAAAATCCAAAAGATATTAAAAATATTCTCAATTTACAATTACTGCATAAAAATTCAACACTTGAAATTTTTAGTACTTAATTTTCAGTTTTATCAAATAGCACCTTGTTCTCAATAAGTGGAAAATTGGTATAGTGACTTCCTTAGGATGTAGGAGTGTGGCTCAGCATTCGATAATTGTTTATGCATATTTTGACTTCATTCTAATTTCTAGATTAATGACATGTTATTCAAAATTAACATTTGAAATCCCAAATTTGCATGATTGTTTTGGTTATCTTGATGTTTTGTATTTCTATACAGATCCAAGAGGTCCGTTTACGGCTCAATGTTGATGTTACTGTTGCTTCGGACTCCTCCCATGCACCTGCACCAATTGAGTCATTTACAGACATGGTAAAGTTACAAGGTTTTTAACAATGAGATTTAAAATTTGAAACTACGTCCCGTAGCATATCTAGTCTGTCAGGTATGGATTTGATACAATGTGGTTTTCTATATTCCCAGTGCTTGCACTCAAGCATCATGAAGGATATTGCCTTTCACGAATACACTAGACCTACTCCTATTCAGGCTCAAGCCATGCCTATTGCTCTAAGTGGAATGGATCTATTGGGTTGTGCAGAAACTGGTAGTGGCAAAACTGCTGCATTCACCATTCCAATGATACAGGTCCGCTGTTGTAGTTCTTGATATGCTTTATGTCCTTTACACACCCAATTGTGTATTTAATCATCGATTTGACAACAGGAGGTATTCTACATCATGATGTATTTTTTAACCTTCTCTATTTTTGCAGTATTGCTTGGCTCAGCCTCCTATTAGGCGTGGCGATGGGCCTTTGGCATTAGTATTGGCTCCTACAAGAGAGCTTGCCCAACAAATAGAGAAAGAGGTGAGTAGCAGTTTTTTTTTCTGGAAGTTTTTGAAGATTGACAATGTTGTTATAATTGTTTTAGTCTTGGTGTTTGATGGTTGCAGTTACAAATTATATATATATATATATATATATATATATATATATATATATAAAGAGAGAGAGAGAGACTCATGTCATAGAAATGATGCTTGAAAGGTTAGGTCTGTATCCAGTCCACCCCTCCCAACAACCTCGATTAACGGCGACCAGACTAGATTAGTACCCTACTACAACTTACCAATGTCTTTATTCATTATCTAAAATACCCCCAGGTTTGGATTGGCATCAGGACAATAGATTTCCTTTCTTCTTGAATGCAAAAAATATAGCGTAAAGATTCAAACATAAAACTTTATTTATTTATTTATTATTTTTATAAACAAGTCTCATGGAGAGAATTAATTTTTTTTGTTTTTTTTTTTTTAATATTTCCATTGCCTAAATGAAAATATTTGGCGGGTCTGTTTGCATTTTTCTATTTTGTACAGGATATTGTTTATTCTGCTACTTTTTTTGTATAGGTTCCTTGAACAAATTCAGGATACTTTTCCTCCTTTTTAGTTTTTGATCTCTACAATTACTAAATAAGACACACAGTTGTTATACACTTTGGGCTTCTATGATCAATAGCGAGACATGAATTTTTATATTTGTCATGATTTGTATAATGAATTTATAATTGATATTAGATAAGAATTGTTCTATGCTAATAAGCCGATATAGATATTTTAGATATAAATATTAATATTAATCATCATGTTAAGCTGACGTTTGCCATCTTTCTAGGTTAAGGCTTTTAGTAGATCTCTGGAGTCCTTCAGAACCGCAATAATTGTTGGTGGAACAAACATTGCTGAGCAGGTGACAAACCTTGGCTTGATGAATTCTGTAATTTGTTGTTGGTGCAATCCTCTAGTCATGGTGCATAAAGAATAAATGTCACATCACTTCTTGTGAGATTGAAATCATTTTCGTTTAAAAAAAATTTCTCATGTTTTTTTTTTTTTTTTTCGGTTAATTTTTTGTCTTTTCCTTGTGCCAGCAGTGTATTGTTTTCCTGTTAAGTTTCTTCAAATTCTTTTCTAGTAATATTTCTTTCTGGTGGACTTCTGTTGTTTTAATGGCTTGACAGAGGTCTGAGCTACGAGCAGGAGTGAATATAGTAGTTGCTACTCCTGGAAGATTTATTGATCACTTACAACAAGGAAACACTTCCCTCTCTAGAATTTCATTTGTCGTTTTAGACGAGGCTGATAGAATGCTTGATATGGGGTTTGAACCACAGATAAGAGAGGTAGATATCATCTCAATATTTGTATTAAAAATGCTTTCTTCAACTTATTCATATATTCTGATTTTGTCATCTTGCTCTCACAAACCTCAACATGGCTAGCCAAGGGCCCTACTTTTCAAAGGGAGGTTAGGGGTTCGAACCTCAGTGGAGGCATGTGTGTGTGAGTACCAACTAGGAAAGAAAAAAAACCTCAACATGGCTATCCAAGGCCCCTACCCCTTTTTAAATTTGTGATTTATTATTATTATTATTTGTATCTGCTCTTTCCTTTCTTAATTCATGAGAATGAACACATCTCCCAATCTTACTTTTCTTCCTTCCGAGTGCTATTTGTTACAATTGGATGATTGATAATGCACATACAATTGATTGAATGACCAACGGAAATATATGAAACTCATGTCACTTTGGAGTATGGATTGCCATGTGTTCCTTGGATAGACAAGTATCAATATATTTGTTGTTGCATAACACATTTGTACTTTTTCAGGGGGAGACTGTTAATCACGAAATGACCATGCCTTGGTGTTCTTGTACATCTCCGGTCGAAATATCAGTTTCTTGACTTATTGTAAACTTTGCATGTGTTTTTTCATAGATATTTTACTTTTTAAGCTAAAGAATATTGTACTTTTTAATGGACTTGTTATTCATGACTTCAGCGCACCCCCCCTGCTGTAATATCAGTTTCTTGACTTACTTGGAATGCATAGGGTTCAACTTATTGTAAACTTCACATGTGCCTTTTCATAGATATTTTACCTTTTTATCTAAAATATTGTTCTTTATAATGGACTTGGTATTCCTGACTTCTCCCCCCGCCCCTGAAATATCAGTTTCTTGACTGACTTACAATGCATAGGGTTCAACTTATTGTAAACTTTGCATGTGCCTTTTCATAGATATTGTAGTTTTTAATCTAAAGAATATTGTACCTTTTAATGGACTTGTTATTCATGACTTTTTTTTTTCCCCAACTATTACTGCTATCAAATATTGTTTGGTAACACTGTTTAATTTTCTGTCATCAATCATCATCACAATTTTTAACCTTTCCCCGCATAACCTTTTCCTATGTGTGTTAAAGTAGAAGAAAATTGGGAAAGAGTTGGTTGTCATTTTCTTTAGCCCAAAATAGTTGGATTTGTCATGTTCAACTATCATTTTTATTTAGCATGGGGGGACAAGCTAGCTTTCTTGCTATTGCGATGTGTCATCCGCTTTAGAAAAGAAAAAGCGTCTAATGAGTATAGTCAAGTTTGAATTGCAGCATATGGTCATCTCATCCTCTGCATGTGGTCTATTGACCTTTTGGAAGAGAATAAAATACAAACTGTCTGATCCTTTTTTCAGGTAATGCGGAGTCTTCCAGAAAAGCATCAAACTTTGCTTTTTAGTGCAACAATGCCAGTGGAGATTGAAGCGCTAGCACAGGTAAGATTTGCATTTTTTTTTTTTTTTTTTTCAGTAAATGAGTAAAGCATTTAGTTTATCAATCATCATCATTATTATTAATTTAAGATATAACAAGCTGTTGACTTTTAGAGTTGGTTGAGCTGAGGCCAATCTCCATCTACTCAGAACCTCTTCAATTATTTTCTTTTGACTTGGATTGGATGGTTAATTTAAAAATTAGTAATATTCTTGTATTTGTGTCCCCAAAACCTTGAATGTGGTAGTGATACTTCTTTCACAATGTGCCATTGGTTTCATGCAATTAATAAGGAGGAATGTGTATAATATTAAAGATTTTTCTACACTAAAATTTCCCTTATGTTATGAAATTTTTTAGGAATACCTGAATAATCCAGTGCAAGTAAAAGTGGGAAAAGTAAGTAGCCCAACAGCAAATGTATCCCAAATGTTGGAGAAGGTTTCCGAGAATGAGAAGGTATGCTTGGTTTCACATGATGCAGAAAAATATATGTATATTTATATGGATAATGTTGATCCTTGATAGTGTTGAATATATATATATATATATATATATATATATATGGATAATGTTGAATTTTTTTATATATATATATTCTGTTTGTGCGCGTATTTAGTTCTTTTAGGGAGTGTTTGGACATGTTTCCTTTCTCTTGTCTCTAAATGCTCTCCAATTTTTTGTGTTTCAATGTGTATACTAACGAGGATGTCATTAACTTATCATTAATGTGATGGTCTAGAATCCACAATGAAGATTGAAGAGGATGTTGCTTGCAGTATATGTTACATGGACTCAGTTATTTGTGTTGAATGTGGGTATGTGTCCCAACAACTCCCACATCGCCTCTTGTTTGGGGGGCGGGGGGGGTGGGGGTTTGGCGGGATTTTTATAAAGTAATTAAATAACAGAAACAAAAAATGATTAATATGAAACGGCGATGACATGACCAAAAATTGTTATCCTTTCTTACTATTGTAGCTTCATTCTTAATTCTGCACCTTTCTAGCAGTTTTTATATGATATTAGGTGCATTGTGTTTTGCAGCCGTCTATAATAAATGTCACGTGTGGTTATCTATCATTCAAGGAATGAGAAAATTTAATTGGATGGTTCACAAAATTGTATTTGTGAATTAGAGAAAGGTTTGCTCTCAAAGTGCCAATGTGCACGCAGAGTGTGAGAGCAGCACATCTCAAGGAGGATTATGTGACTTAGAGTAGGAGTACACATTTTCTTAGCTACACAACATTAAATTTCACGAATTAGGTCATAGATAGTTTTTCAACATAATCCCAATCTTACGCCAAAAATTTTCAACCAGGTTTGTCCATTGTTCAGCTTGGGGTGAGCTTGGTTCAGGCTAAACCTCCAATGTCGGGTATAGCCTTTTGATTCAGTGCCTGTTGTCTTTACATAAATGGCTGCCTTTTGATTTTTCACTTATCATTTAATTTCCTGTTTCCAATTGGACATATATGTTTGTTATAACTGAATTACCTGGCGCTTGAAATGGGCCATGCATTTTGAACAATCACCATATTTAACCGCTCTAAATATGACATCTGTTTAAATGCGTTTGATTGATCTTGAGAGTTCTTGACTTGATAGTAATATTATGACAATGTTTAATGTCTTGTAGATTGATCGGCTTCTAGCATTGCTTGTTGAGGAGGATACTCAGGCTGAAAGATCTGGTCACCTCTTTCCCTTAACCATTGTCTTTGTGGAGAGGAAGGTAATCCAATGCATAGATATGCTTGACCTATTATTTTCATAATTAGCAATACCTTCACCACCAAATTTTAAACATCAGTTTATTTTCATAACTTTGTTATGGCTTATATGTTAATTTATTCTGCCCAGTTAGATGCCTCTACTCCTTCACTCCTCACACGTTTACATGTAGCTGCATTGTGTTTCACTGTAAACACAAAAAGTTCACCTGATTGTGTATTCCAGGTCATGTTCAGCACTATAAATATTTACATTTTACTATCTGGCTTAACCTAGATTATATTCCCCAGAACTTAAATATTTGCATTTTGGGAAAGTGAGCAAGTCTATAACATGGTAAGACAATTGCGAAAAATTTATCTGCTTATAACTGCCAAACTTCATGAAAGTCCAATTAATCTCAAAATTAGAGATGCAAGTTTTCTAATAAGTCGGGAGATGGCTTTATTTATAACTTTTACCCTTTCTTTGACATTTCAAAAACTATTTCAATTGCTGATATAATTTCGAGAAGTAGAAAGTGCTATTAGATGTGGTGCAGTTTCTTTCTGTCATTCATACACCCATCCCGCTGCATAAAATGGGGTTACTGATTTGCTTTTCAAATGTGGCATGGTTCAATATCAATGCTGATAAATTACAGGGATAATTTCTTGTTCAATCTTGTTTATTTTTGTCTTCATCATGTGTAATGTATTTTTGGGTTTAATAAGTAACATTATAGCTGCTGTTGTTATGTTGCAAATTTCTGGTTTCTAAATTGTTTGTTCAAAGTTCTAATATTTGAATTTGGGTCTGCGTGCAGACTAGGTGTGATGAAGTTGCAGAAGCATTAATAGCACAAGGTTTACATGCAGTTGCTCTTCATGGTGGCCGCAGTCAAAGTGAACGAGAGGCTGCTCTTCGTGATTTTAGGCATGGCACTACCAAAATCTTGGTATTCCCCTTATATTTCTATCTCTCTCTCTCTCTTTTTTTTTTTTTTTTTTTAATAAAAAATTTCTGGAAAGCATAATTCTTGTTCTTATTGATCTTCTAAATTGTTATCATTTTATAATGCAGTGTATAACATGAAATGGTCCTCTTGCTATGTTTGTTGTCCTACATTTGCAAAGGAGATTAAAAGGACCCTGTTTTGTTTTAGGTTTTCATTTGACATGGGGGTGCAACTCAAGTGGGTTGGGCAGGTTGAGGGACCAACCTAGGTCAAACCCAAGTTATAAAAAATTCAATCCAAGCCAAGCCATATAAATGCAAGCTCCACAACTGGAGTCCAATCCACATTCAAAATTTTGAATTCGAGTTAAGCTCGGGTTAAAGAAACCCATTGATTTAGGGTCGGGGTGGGTTACTCCCATGCAGTATGCATAAAATATCAAAAATTGAATATAAATTTCAAGAAATTGTAAACAAATTCACAAGATGTTACTTTTTCAAAGAATTAATATACAAGGAAGTTACAAAATAAAGAAAAAAAGCTGGAAAGAAAAGGATAATCGTGATTTGAAATATATAAAAAAGAGATAGAATTCGGGTTTGTCTAGGGTTACTGACACCTCAACCAAGTCCAACCCTGATTAATTTAGGGTTGATATTTTTCAACCCGAGTGCACGCCTAATTGTAAAAATGGTTGTCCCATTAAGTGAAAATTCGGGTAGCACACATGTTGGGTTCAGGTTGGCGCACCAAGTTGCCTCCTAGTTTGCTATTAAGAGCTTTATAATTTGTCATTACCCTTTAGGAAATTTGCACTCTAAAATTACCTTAGACTATCCAACCTTAAGGAAATTTTTATGCTGCATTTAGACATCCTTGGAAATTTTCTTCAAACTGGACTATGGATATGAAACTATTTTCCCCTTCTTTTTGGGTGCAACTTCAATGTTGAGGGGCTGGCATTCATAATGATTGAGCGGCTGGCATTCATAATGATGGAAATGCACAGGGTATCAAATGTGCCCTTAATGCTTACTGAGTTTTTTAGCCTATATATATATATATATATATATATATATATATATATATATAATTAAGTTTTTAATTAAAAAACTCACTTTGAGGTGGCTGCTATTCATAATGATGGGTTTTTGCATGGCATCAATTATGCCCTTAATGCACTGAGTTTTTAAGCCTCTCTTTAATACAGTTTACGAGATTGGAGTATTCATGTAGTGTTAAATTTTGAAGAATTTCGATCCTTGTGTGAAGTTTCTACTGATAGCATCATGCATAATTTCATTCCAGGCCATTAGATTGGCAGTGAGGCCATCTAAAGGATCTTCTGAAGCAAGGGAGCCTTTTTTGTCATGTGCTTTCTTCTTGTTCCTGTTTTCACATCTTAAATTTTGTGTGTTTATATACATGCATGCACACACTTCTCTAGGTTGTACTTGATTTAATGCAGGGTTGTTTTTAGATGGTCTTTAAATCTCTGTGGTTCACTTTTTTGTCTCTGAATGCAGGTTGCCACTGATGTTGCATCACGTGGTTTGGATGTCACTGGAGTTTCTCATGTTATAAATCTTGATCTTCCAAAGGTATATTTGGTTGTAAGTGATAGCTTCTTTGTGACTCTGTCTCATTTCAAACAAGAAAATTGTTGAGGTCTTGTTGGTTTGTGGATTGCCATTTTAGCAATTTATTGATGTGGAGAAATATGGGGAATAGGAATTCTTTTGAATATTAAGTATTGGTGCTGTACATAAATATAAGCCCTGTGGTTGTAAGTTCTTTTTGCAGCTGATTTGTCAGCTTCTTGTCAGCTGGTCTTTCAGTCCCCATTAATTTACTTTTTGAATAGCAAAACCTGAAGCTTCAGTTATGGCTACCTCAATTATAGACCATGGAAGATTATGTACACCGGATTGGAAGGACAGGGCGTGCAGGATCAACCGGCCTAGCTACGTCGTTTTACGCTGATCGTGATATGGTATCTTCTTTTCCTCTTTTTGCTTCCCCTTTCATGCTTCCTTCTTTTATTTCTATTGGTTCGTGTGTTCTTACATGCCCTGATGGCACAAATTAGTTCCTAGTGGCACAAATAAAGAAAGCAATAGCAGATGTTGAATCTGGGAATGCTGTGGAGTTTGCAACCGGGAAGGTATTAGGTTTTTGTCATCATTCATTTCACACAATGCTTACTTGTCTTTAATTTCTTTTGATTTTTCTTTCAGTGCTCTCATGTTATTGTATCTATAGTGTGCTTCACTTTTACTTTCTTTGCATTTTTCCTCGGAACAATTTGGATAGACTTGTATGTTTCTTTTGGTAACTTCTATTTTTGTTTCTCTGTTTCTGCTATTGATCTTTAGGTTGGTCGAAGAAAGGAGCGAGAAGCAGCAGCTGCTCAAAAAGAAGCAAGAGTTGCAATGTCCAAACTCTCGTTGATGGGAACGACAGCAATAAATGTTGAGGACAAGTACCGATACATGATAGCCCCGTCAAGTATGAAGAAAGAGGGTGCCGCAGATGGTGCTTGGGATGATTGACACGATGAAATTGCACTTCAGTGCCTTATCTTTTGATGGTGAATGATTTGTTGAAGGGCCTTAAGAAATCAATTGGTAAGATACATGATTGCCCCGTCATTGATTCTTTCCCCTCTCCTCTCCCCTCTTCTACGTGTCTCACGTGTTTTGCGTGTAATTGGTTGTTATTTTGATGCAGAAGACATGCACTTACAGGTGTGCTGCTTGTGACACGGGGCTTAAAGTGCAAAAAGAGATGATGGCATGCTTGTAAATTTATGTACTCTGTGTCATATCACCATCAATGTAGTTAGCAGTTCTAACAAAGACTAGTTGCTTGGTGTTGTTTTGAAGTTTGTAGGATATTGTTACAGTATGCATGATATAATTTTACGTATATTGGAATTAAAGCTAGTCTTTTTTTGTGAATTTTCTTGCATTGAAAAGTTTATGCTCGACAGATATAAGAATGTATGACTTGGTTTAGTTGTGTCAATCAACTGTGGTTTGAATCCGAGTTGATTGATTTCGGATTTTTTTTTTTGAAAAACAAGCGAAATATCAAAGGGCGTATTGTGCTGCAAAACACGAATGTGTTGAATAGTGTAAAACAGGAAATACAGTTTGCTATGCATACTTGTGTACATTATTGTGGCATGATGGAATAATGATATTTGAAGGAGCATCTTCAATCTGAAGCAAAATTTTTGGTTTAATGATCTGTGCTTTGTGGTGTGAGTAAGATTACTGCCAGTGAGGGCAGACCTTTCTTCCTGGATGACATGATAAATTTGATCACGCTTTCTAACCAATTTGACTTTAATCCATTTCCCTCCCTCGATTAATTAAAGAGGTCTCAACACATCAGTTGTAACATTGATTGAAATTTAAACAGGCTATTTTAACCTATTTGTCTAATCGCTGGAGTTTCTATCCATTTGATAGTGTGAAGAAGCATAAAATTAATTCCATTCATTACATCAAAAGGATATAAACCCCTTTGATCAGACAAATAAGTTTGAAATTTTGCATAAGAATCATTTTCCTTGATATAATGATAAAACTTCATTTTGTATAAATAAGGTCAAATTTGTATTCAATCCATCTATACTGCTGATGCAACGAAGCAATATCATCCTGCAAAGCTTCTCATCCAACACAGAATTGGTAATGGAATAGCTACTGCCTCTTGGTGGGACAATTGGATCCCTGGAGGCCCTCTTAGCACAAGATATCCACTTAGAACTCTCACTAATGCTGGATTCAATGATACAGTCACAGTAAGTACCTTCATCTTGAATTCATCTTGGTCCTTTCCCATTAGCCTCACAAAAGCCATTCTAGAGTTATTATCACTTCCCCCTCCATGTCCCTCAAGGAATGATAAAAAAAACTCTAGATTGCATCACCAAATGGCATCTATAGCCTCAAACACACTACAAGTCATCTAGCAAAGCATTCTCCTGAAGTCCATTGGTACAATTTAGTATGGAGATCTCCATCAATACCCAGGATGAAATTCAACTAATGGCTTGCAGTCCAATCCAGACTTCCTACTCTTGACTGTAAGTCAATGTCCCGCCATGAAAATATATGTGCTCTCAGCGAAAGCCACTAAGAATCACACCAGCATTTATTCTTCAACTGCAGTTTCATCTCCCCAATACGGCGTTTCATCAAATCCAAATGCAGATTCAGCACTACAATCAGAAATTGGGAGGACTTGATCCTCTCCATAAGCACCCTTTGGAAAAGGGATTCTCCCAAGAATCTGCTGAGGAAAGTGTCTCTCCTCTTGATTTACCATACTTGGGAAGAAAGAAATGAAAGGATATTCAAAAAGAAAAAATCATCACAGAGAGTGGTTCTTGCAAAGATTACCTTCATAGTCACAGCTCTGCTCAAATTGGGGTTTTTGAAAGACAATCAATCATCGAGGCAAATTCTCAGGGATTGGAATTTGTCGCCTGCTCACTGCCGTCCTCCTCCAAGGCTGCCGGATAGTTCTCATGGATGATGAAGATCACTCATCGTCCTCAGCTAGGGTTCACACCGGATTGTTTCTAACCACTTCACTTAACGGCTAATCAACCGTTAATTGCGGTTATTAGTTGGGTTCTTGGGTGGGCTTTCCTTGTTGGGCTATTTGCTCGTTTTTTGGGCTGGTTTGTTTCCCTTTTGGGTTTTTTGTATTGGCCTAATGGCCCTCCTATGTAATTATTTTTAAATTTATACAATTTGCTTCAATTTCCCCAAAAAAAAAAAAAAAAACGAAGCAATATCATACAGATTACATACATGTTTACAAAATCTTTAGAGAAGCAAAACAGCGCCTGTAGCTCAGTGGATAGAGCGTCTGTTTCCTAAGCAGAAAGTCGTAGGTTCGACCCCTACCTGGCGCGCTAGTCCTTTTTACGATTGCTTGTTAAGCCACTGTACTTGCACAAAATTGACAAAGAAGCCTTCTAGGCTGTGTTTTTATCAAAAGCTTATTAATTTAAATTTTATATCATCCACAAACAATATTAAAATAGAAACATTTTAGGCAAGTCCACAGTTATTGAAGACTTTGAAGTTTGAATGTAAGATGGCTGAATAATATTATGCTTCTGGACTTGTGAGAAACAAAACAACCATCAAGTCCAGGAGGCCATGAACAGCAAAACAAAACCTCAGTGTGTTACAAAAGAAGATGAAAATGTCCAAAACCAGACCGTATAGCTTATGATGCCATAATTGGAAGTCTCTTGTGCCCTATGAAAGCCTGCCGAAGCTGATGATACCCATCTCTGTAATGCTCGATTGAGAAACACAGTTGTCGTATTGCCTCCCTTTTCTCCTCTGCACCTTCCAAAATCACAACTCTTTGCCCCTCGACCTCTTTCTCGAGTTCCTCAACTCTTGATCTCAGTTCTTCTACCAGTTTACGTGCCTTTTCAGCTCCGGCAATCAACTCAACATGTTCCATATGTAGTTGGTGTAGATGCTTGTTCATTTGATCAATCTGGCCATCCCTAGAGGTCACTTCCGCGACATGTGCAAGAATTTTAGCATCAAACTCATCTTTTTCTACCATCAGCAAGTCACACTTCAATTTCAACTCTTCCACATGTTCATCTCTCTCGGCAATGCTTGCTTTTAGCTGCTCAATCTCGGCTCCAAGCAGACCTTCCATTTCTGCTTTTCCAGCCTTGATTCGTCTTATCTCCTCCTCTAACGATTGGCAACGCAGTTCCCACTCTTTGAGATTATCCTCCAAATAAGTTTGTTTTTTCAAGAATTTAGAAATTTCGGCCTGAAGCTGCGAGTTTTCATCAGATAAGGTCTGGTTGGCATTGGAAATTGTCTCCCTCATTGCCCTAATCTCTTGATCGCGGTCTAACAAATTGGCTTTGTACCTCACGATTCTGTCCTGTAACTTTGAAACCTCTTTTTTATCTTTATCAAGCTTCACTTTCCATATAGCAACATCTTTTTGAGCTAATTTAAGTTGATCCTGCAAACGCCGGATAGTCGAGCCATTGCTCTCAAGTTCATGTTTCAGATTTGCCACTTCTTTCTCTGTACCCCTAAGTTTCTCTTTTGTCATTTTCAGCTCTTCCTCGAGTGTATGATTATTGCCTTCTGGTTTTGAAAATTCTGCTTCCATTCCATCAATCCTGTCTTCAAGCTCTGTCGCTGCTTGTTTTTCCACTTCCACATTGGCTCCCAAAGTCTTTATATCTTTGTGGCTTGTATCCAGCTCAGCCTGCAAACTGTTGGTCAGTCTCAAGGCTTCATACTTTTGGAGCTCAATCTTCAACCTAGCAATCTCTTCTTCTGAAAACCGAATCTTTTCCTTGGCAACCTTCAGCTCTTCATCATATCCTCCAATTTTAGCAAGTAGCTCATCATAAATCCCATTTTTGGTTCCCCTGGAAGAACCATCTGCATTCTCCACCTTTTGCACCCGCAGCTTCTCTTTCACGTCATGAAGCTCAACCTCCAATTCAATAATCTTCCTACGCAACCCTTGGTCATCACCATTACCTGATATGCTCGAATAATTATTAACAGAGGAATCATCTGATTCTGATTCGGAATCCAACGTAGACGATTCATCCCCTTCTTTGTTGAACTCTGCACTACTTCCACCAGAGCCAAGGAAGAATTCAAAACCAGCGGCTCGAGGACCAGATTTACGATGACTTAGCCTTTGATCAGGTGAGGGCAATGCGGAGGCTGGTTCAGAACCTATGTCAGAGATGCCTGAGCCTTGGGATTGGAGATCTGAGGGGATATTCTTCCGTAATTCTCCTGTCACGTTATCATACCGCTCAGCCAGTGAACGGTATATGCGATAGAATTCCTCAACATGAGAGATCAATTCTGGCCTCTTCTGGTAGTACATCTCAGCCTTTTTTGCAAATGAGTCTCCATCCTCTTCAATCAGTTTCAACATCCGTTTGACACTTTGGTCCATCTCTGAGATCAGTGACCTTTTTGTCAATTATTTAACATTTTGGCAATTTGAATTATCACAGCAAGCAGTTAGTTTGTACTTAGTAGTTCAAATTGCATGATTTAAAAATTATACACACTTCATCACTCCCAGCACCCCAAATTGGTGGGACCACCACAATTTAATGTCCTTTTGAGAAGAGGGAATAAAAATATCTAATTCTTATTCAATTTACCCATTATAGGAGTCAGAAAGTACTTTAGCCCCTTTTAGAACATCTCATGTAAATATTTGTGAAGATTAAATGCAACATATTGGATTTCAGAATACAGGTGCTCAGTATTTTTGAAAGAAACCTTTTATACTACTCTATTGCCTATGCAGAGAATGATGTTATTTTCATGAACACGTTGGCTAAAAAAAAATTTAAAATCAGGAGCTACATTTGAAAAGAATTTCAGCAAATCTATGATGTAATGATCCAACGCAAGACAGTATATCCATAACATGATTGCCCATATACAACCCATCTAAAGAGTTTTAGTTGAGTTGGTTGGTCCAGATATCGTGTTTATACTAAACCATTGCTATTGATTTTACTAAAATATCTTTGTTCATTTGGGAAAAAGGAAAGGATGATGAAGAGGATGGGCCTTGGCGCAACAGTAAGGTTACTCCATTATGACCCGGAGGTCATGGGTTCGAAACCGAAATCAGCCTCTCCAGACCCCACAAATGGCAGGAGCCTCGTGCACTGGGCTAGCCCTTTAACTTCAACTGGCACTCACTATTTACGATGATCTATGATTCAAAAAGGTTTTAACTTTCATTTGATCTCTTTTATTTTTATTTATTTATTTATTTATTTGGAATGCTTTTACTTATGCATACAAGAATATAACAGGACAATCGCAATCACAGTCTTACCCTCAAGATTTTCTGCAAGCCACTTGGAGTTTTTGGGACTGATGTGGCTATCCCACCACCAGGAATGTGACTTTTTTGAATCTGTTCTCTTCATGTTCTTATGTGTCTTAGCCTGAAATAAGAAAAAGCTATAATGTTATGTGTGACCAACAAATTTATCCAACTGATCTAGCAGTTCAGCTAAGTATACAGGAAGAAGCAAGGAGAAGGAAATTAACCATTTTCAATGGTAAAGAGCATCCTGATATAAATGAAAAAACTTGATGGGTGTTTGGATGTCCCATAAAAACGAGAATCATCTAATGCCTTTCAAAAATCATTTAAACACATATGTTCATGGTGTGGAATAGAGGCATATTCATGATCAATAAAGTCAAAAGGGATATATATATGTATATATATAAAATATTCCCCGTCCATATACATCCTGAGACATTAGTGGAATGCCTAAAAGACTGTTTCCAGAGCACCAATATCATCTCCCAAACCAAAAAGGAGTGACTCTGTTGAATACCATAATGCCTTTGTTTTAAACAAAGTGTAAACACAAACAAGAATTTGACTCTGCACCTCTTCCCCTTGGTATTATGTATATGTGCATTGCACTTTCTTTTTTTGAAAAAAACAAAAAACAAAAAAGAGAAATCACATGAGATACTATATTTTAATGTCAGTTTTGCAAATTAATTTTGTCGCTACCGAACCAAATATTATCAAAAGAAGTGCATTCATCTTGTGGGCAAGCAGATTTCAGCCATCATTCTATATCATAAAGCATGACTAGTCTTATAACCTTCTAATGAGTTTCCCAAAAGTTTGGTAAACATTTGTAGTTCAAACAGTTCTGCAGAACTACTACATTTTATTTGCTCCGCTCATGTTCCATAGGCAATGTCGTCTCCATTCCTTCTCCTTTGTGGGGCAAACAAACAGGATTGAATCAGAACTGCTACATTTTATTTGCTCCACTCATGTTCCATGGGCAATGCCATCTCCATTACATCCCCTTTGTGGAGCAAACAAACAGAATTGAATCCTTTCACCATCAATTTACATACTTCCTTAATTCTACCAAAGATTTACAATGCTTTGATTCATAAATTTTTCCCAGTCTTTGAAGTTGAAAAGATTTCTACATGGTTCTAACTCAGAGTTGGGTAGAGAAAAAAGCCTATGTAAATATGAAGTGGATGCCATTATCCAAAAACTTTTAAGCAACCCTAAAATCATAAAATCTTTTACGTTTCATCAGAAAAATAAAAATTTCTTCTGATCATGCATTTTTGTAGCATGGGTTGGAAGCCGTAAGATTAAAAGGAAAAAGCAATGATGTTTCTATAAAATACTGATGGAGTATTGAGGACTCACTCAACCAATTAGGAAAACATGGATAATAGAGCTACATTAGAGTAAAGCTTTCTGAGTTAGCTATGGGTAAAGTTCTCCAAGAACTGGAGACACAGACCACTAATCCTTCAGAAGCCAAGAATCTCCAAGGAAGGATTAGGACACAATATAAGGACCTAAATTTCTTGGTCGGACGAGTCTGAGAACTGAAAAATTCAAAGAGCGAGAGGGATTGATTAGGACACAATATAAGGACCTAAAGTTCTTAGTCGGATGAGTCCGAGAACTGAAAAATTCAAAAAGCGAGAGGGACTGACTAGACAGCTGTCAACCAGCTCTGAAGTTTGCCAAGTCTTTAGAATGCCCCTGAACAAAAGGAAGGAAAGACAGGTAACTTCATCCTAGCTACGGGAAAGGGGAGAGGAGAGCAGAGGTAACCACCAAACTGTCACCTCAAACAAAGACCCTCAGAAGAGCCTGAAGTAGAGAAACCTACAAATAACAGCATAGCAGCCAGAAATCACACCCAAAAAAAACGAAAAAAATGGAGTTGGGTGGCTTAAGTGTAGATTCACTGCTGAAGAAGAAACATTTTAATATTGATGGAATCACATAACAAATTTGGCCCAATGAATATCAAATATCAGCTGATTTATAGAAGTTTGAAGAAGGGAACAAAAAAGAGTGTTTGTCTGAGCCTCAAAATTTCAGAAATCTTAATGAAAGAAAATAGTATTGCAATAAATAACTTCAAATATAGCGTTTTAAGACCCACTGGTAGATTAGGTCAAACTCAAAGTTATCTAGGACAAATACCAACATGACGATATTTTGGCCCGCCTGCATGTAGTATTTCAGAGAGCAACTTTTTCATAAACTTGTCCACCAACTAAAAAAGATTGAGAGAGAACTCAAAAACATGTTGGGCTTGCTTCGTCCAGTTTTCTCAATTTCAGTTATCAAAGAACAAGAAAACAGATAACAATTTCAACATTTGTTTGGTTGACATTTATATGAAAAATATTTTATGAAAACTGAGTAAAAGAAATGCCTAGTCTCAGGGATGGATAGATATTTTGTAATTTGCAGTTCTCAGAAAGTTTTCTAATTTTAGAGTTCTTTAAAATTGTTTCCAAATAAATGATTTAAACATTCCCAAATCACGATTTCCTACCTCTAAATTATTTTAATGATGTTGACGTGAGACCTATGAATCGTTGATGGATAATGATTTCCTACCTCTAAACCATACTTTTAGGACAAATTTGCTGATAGAAGGTTCAATGCTGAAAATCTAGAAGTTTCACTATGATAATTTTAGAATCATGAAAATTGTTTCCAAATACCTGATTTAACCATTCATAAACCATGATCTCACTCTTTTGTTATAATGATGTTGGAGTGAGACCTATGAATTGTTAGTTGGATGACGATTTCTTACCTCTAAACCATATCTTTTAGGAAACATTTGCTGATAAAAGGTTCAATGCTGAGAATCTAGAAGACTCACTACGGTTATTTGCTAGAAAAACAAGATTTTCTCTTAAAGCATCATTAAGTGCTAAATTGGCAATCATATGCAACAACCTAGGAAAATCCTTTAACCCAATGACAATGCTATATAATTGCTATCTACATGGAAATTTAAAATGTTACAACAAAATAAAAGGGACATACGGAATGACTAATAAATAATATGGCAAAGTTGAGGAAGATTTAGACTGTGATCCATTACTATATTTCCTGATAGAAGCATAATGTAGACTAGAAACTTAAATCATTTAAACTGTATAGCCAAATGTTTGGAACAGTATTTTTGAGTCCATTTTACAAGTCCCAAGTGTAAAACTAATCAGTCCTTTGTTTCACATGGTCCTTCACAATAAACTTAATTAAATTCATCTCATGTTAAACTATTTCAAAATTCATTAGATGCACCAACAGAAATGATATTAAAAAATCCTATAAAAGAAATGATAATAAAAAAAGGGATGTGTCCACGATCTCTTGTATATAATGAGAAAATGATTTAAAGTGACAAACAATGCTTACCAAAGATGATGCCATTTTGCTCACTTGGTAAAATTTGTAAGTGGATACTCACACCTGGGCCCAAAAAATGAGGGATAAGTTTGGCAATATTACCTGCAATTTAGCTTGAACAATTACAGTTTCTAACCATGCCAAATTATAAAGTTAAACAAATATGATGGAAAATCACCTATTGTATATTAGTTCTAATTCAATACTCATAGATGTTGGAGGAATTATAATGTCAATAACAACATGTTAATTTGTGTTTTTTAAAGTGACTTGAGCACCCATACTGCTAAATACATTTAGCTGTTTGGATTGCTCCTTTGGCAGGTTAGGCCAGGCCAACTTAAGCCAAACCAATCCAATATATACCCAATACGAGTTAAGGGTATGGACCTAGTCCCAGCCCACACTTGACCAAGATTTTCAAACAAAAACCTAAACTAGTCAATTCACTTGGTTCGAGGCGAAAACCTTACATTCATTAAATTATTTCTTGCACAAATTGAGGAAACACATTTTTGGGTTGTCTGTTTCAAGTACTTTTTGCTTTAAGCAACCTACTGATTTTTTAACAAGTTTATCCTATTTTGATGAAAAAAGTAACAATTTGACTATATAACCTTATATGTATTATCTGTGAGCAACAATATTCATTATTAAATAGAGTGAACGTGATATATATTTACCCACACTCACTACTACCTTAAAACTGGCTCAGTCCAAATCTGGGTTTGAACCAGCTTATGTCTAAATCCGAACCAAGCTCAACTTCGGGCTTTATGTGAGGGATCCAGCCCAACCCACAAAATCCAACGGTCAGGTGGTGCAGTTTCGGCCTACCCAACCTAATGTGCGAGCTTAGTTACAAAATTACATAATTATCTAAAAAAGAAACGGGAGAATTAAAGTATTTTTAAATTGGGACTCTTATATTAGAGTTTCCAATTTTTAAATACTTTGTTTCCAATATAGTGAAAACAAGTCTCCCAAAAGAATAAATCACAGCCTTTGTCTTTTACTTTGGTAAATATTATGGAAGGGAAAGATAATAGAGTTATTGATTACCTATTTTGTAACTATATTTATAAGAACTAAATTTCTGTTTTATTTTTCCGCGCATATAATATAACTTACCCTTCTTTTTGGTTTTCTTAATTATAAAGTGAAGGAAATGATTTTTTTTTTTTTACAAAAAAAAAAAACGAAGAAGATATTTTATGAGTTTGGATAGCAGAAAAAATAAAATGTTTGAGGGTGACTAATTTTTTATAGCCACCTAACTTTCACAAAAAAATTTCCTTGTAGAAAACACAAGAAAATTTTGTTTTCTTGGAAAAGTGATGTAAAATAACAACTATGCCAATTTCTTTCATCTATCAAAAAATTAATGTTTTTGTGCATAATCTGGAGGGAATTAGAAAAGGAATTTTTTTGAAGGATATCTCCATATGGTTTTTATTGATTTGGAGAAAGCCTATGATAGAGTACCTAGAGACCTAATATGGAGGTTTTAGAAAAGAAAGGAGTCACAAAGGGATACATTGACACTATAAAGGACATGTATGATGGTTGTGTGACTATAGTTGGAACGTCTGTACGGGAAACAAGCGAATTCCCAATTATTGTAGGCTTACACCTTTTGCCTTGGTTATGGATGAGTTGACGAGACACATCCAAGATGAGATTCGTGGTGTATGTTATTTTTTGATGATATTGTTTTAGTTGATGAGACTAGAGGAGGAGTTGATGCCAAATTGGAGATTTGGAGAGAAGCTTTAGAACTAGAAGGATTTAAGATAAGTCTAAATAAAACTGATTATATGGAGTGTAACTCTCGTAAATCTAGAAACACAAATGAGGATGTAGTGAGGATTGAGAATCAAGAGGTACAAAAAAGTAAACATTTTCATTATTTAGGCTCAATTGTTCATAATAAGGGAGAAATTGGAGATGACGTTAATCATAAAATCAAGCCAGGATCGGTTAAATGGAGAAGTGCATTTAGTATATTATGTGACATACATATGCCCTTACGATTGAAAGGGGAGTTCTATAGAATAGCTATTAGACTAGCCATACTTTTTGATACCAAATGTTGGCAGTTAGGATACAACATTTGCATAAAGTGAATATGGTATAAATGCGAATGTTGAGATAGATGTGCGGTAAGACTAGAAAGAATAGAATTAGACATGATCATAGTTGGAGTAGCACCAATTGCACACAAAATGAGATAAAATAGGTTAAGATGGTTTGGTCATTTGCAAAGAAGACCTTTAAGTGCGCCGGTTAGTAAAAGTGATATAGTCCACATTGAGGGTAAATACTAGGGGAAGAGGAAGACCAAAGTTAACGTGGGAAGGGTTAGTAATGAAAGATATGATAACATGTAGATTGACTGAGGTTATGGCCTTTAATAAAGCAGAATAGAAACATGGGATTCATGTAGCCGACACCAAGTAATTGGGAAAAGTCTTGGTTGTTGTTGTGTTGTGCATAATCTTTTAGAAGAGTGGTATAATGATTCATATCTCTCAATGTCCTAGAAAATTATTTATTTAGATTTTCACATTACTTTTATTTTTAAAGAAAAGCCAATTAAAAATAATAATTGGAGAGAGATATATTTGGACTTGGACTTGTCATTTCATTTTATTTTCCTTTTTGTCAGGGATGATGGTGTTGTTCCTCTTGGAGGACCCTATATCCCACCACTGGGGACATGCAGTCCCCCATCTAACATGCACCAAGCAAGGGAAAGTTCTCTAGGGTTGGCCCCAAGGTGATTCGAGCCCCAGCTTCCAGGATGACTAGTTATTTCATTTGACAATTAATATAAATAAGAACAATTTTATTAAACAATTATATTTTATTATAATTTTCATGTTTTCCGAACCATGAATTGCAAAATTTTTATAACTTACCAACAATTTTCATTCTAACTGAATAAATGTTGAAAACTTATTGTCTTTTCTTTCACTTCACTTTTTATTACTTTCACTTTCTGATATACTTTTCTTCTACCAAAAGAAACCTAAAATTTTGAAAAGTTTTTAACATTATTCATTCATCCAATGCTATCCTTCAACTTCTTATTCCCCCTGATTACCCAAACACTCCTTAGTAAGAAAGGAGGCGAACAAACTAGGTCTTAAAACTCAAACATTGCCCCTTGCTTTTAAACTCAGCGGTGGCATGCGAAACTAAGGTCTTCAATAAGACAACAAATTCTCAATACGTAGAGATGACAATTTAACCCACCACAATAGGTACCCGCTTGATAGGGATAGATATTGGGATATAACCCCCAAACCTCTTTATGTATTGATCTACATTTACAAACTATATAATTTTTTTTAAAAAAAACCTTAATTTCTTTTAATTTTCTCATTATTATTCTTTTAACTTTACACACACACACACACACACACATATATATATAATGCTTAGGATCCTTTAAATTAACTGTCACTTACATTATAGTAAGTTGAATTTTACTTGCCTTGTGATGTTTCACAAAACCCAATAATGTAAAGTTAGGAAAACACATCTCAGTAGATGTGGTGAATTATAAGCTAAGTTACATGGACTCTTCAAAAGTAGTGAAGTACCCGTGTCGGACACCTATTGCTCGGACATGGGTATGGGATATGTGTCCAACACTTTTGGTTGGACATGTACTTAAAAAGCATATCCAATCATTCAATTATATTATATTATTGCTTTAAAATGAGTTAAATGCCTATATAGAACATTTTATTAAAAAAAATAATACTTTACTCTAGAAAATAAAATAAAATAATTAATAAAATGAATATTTGGACGTGTCTGTGTGTCCTTCTGTTTGGAGATTTGACACGTCCAACACATGGATACATAACCGTGTCCGACACACGTACCCGAGTCCATGTAACACAGATTATAAGCCATAGATCTTTAAAAAAATGTCACATGTAAATTTTTTAATAATTCAACTTACAATAACATAGGCAAATTCAACTTAAAAAGGATCCTTGTGGACCTTGTTCCAAAAGATTAGGGGCGGGATATATAAAATGGGGACAAGGATAGGTTTTTTCTACTAGCAGGAGCGTAAACTTTCCCTAAATAGGGTAGGGAAGGGGAGATCATCCCATAACCTCCTCTAGGAATGTCAATTCGACCTGCCCTTATAGTAACCCACCCCACCCCTAATGAAATGGGTTCAGTTCACATCTAATCCGGTTAGGGGAGTCTTTGGGAATCAGAGTCAAAACCAATTCTACTCCAAACGGATTTGGATCCTCTCCAATACATCTCCACTGATTCACCCAATGATCAAAAAAAAAAAAAAAAAGTCACATCAGCATTTGTCTAACTACCTACCATGTTATGGCTTCCTAACTAACTCAAACCAAACAAGATAGTGATGCAGTGTTTTTGTATCCATTGGATGGAGGCTATAGGAGATACATGGAGAAGAAAATTATTGGAGAAGATCCATCACTTTGTTTTAGTTTGAAAAAAAAAAAAAGAAAAAAAATATATATTTGGTTAAATATTTTAATATGCTTTAACTTTTTTTCTAAAAAGATTTTATCTTTGAATATGCATAATGCAGTTAGGAGCACTCTCAGCCACACACTACTTTTTGACATTCTGGGATTAAAATCCTCTCTGACACAACAGTGCATCTGTCACAGTCGATGAGAAAAAAAATATTGGGATGTTAGATCAAATGTCACAATATTTTCTTAAGATACATCCCAATTTATTTTTACCTGCCCCTTTTGTTCTTCTTTTTTTTTTTTTTTTTTTTTTTTTTTTTTTTAGTTAAAGACCTGCCCCTTTTGTCATTCCCATCAATACACTAAAGTCCAAATAAATTAAAGCCCAAACCCAATGTTTAAACCGTGGGCCACGAACTTTTGGGTTGACAAATTGGGTAGCCATAAATAGGAAGCCCAAGACCACACAAGTGGCAATAAAGAAAGGAATTAAAAATATATCAATAACAGGTGTCCACTACAGTTTAAGCAGTGGACACGCACCTTAATTTAAGTGGAGCGTGAGAGCACGAGCCTCTAAAACGCGCGAAGGTCCGTAGTCTACGGAAGATGAATAAATGTCCGTATGACAAAATTGACCTCAGCACAACTGTCCGAACGACACACACAGCTATGTCCCACGCGGTTGTATTCAGCCCTGCAAATAACAGACTGCAATTCCATTAAAAAAAATAATGCAAAAAAAAAAAAAATGAAAATAAAATTATAAATGAAAATAGATACTGTCCTCACACACACTCTCCTAGGATATAATTCCGACCATGAAAATGTCCATCATATATCCTCATACGATCAAAGAGTAAGAAAATGTCCATTATATCCTCATAAACAAAGAGTAAAAATAAGTAAAAAGACAATTTGATAATTTAAAAATGACTGTCACCATTTTAGGGAGAAAAATAAATAAGAGGGAGGGAAGAGAAATAGGGATGTAAAAAGTTCTCTTGCATTTCTCGAGAAGATATTTTAAAAATTAAAGCCACAATTTTAGGAAAAATAAAGAAAAAGAAATGAAGAGAACCAGATAAATTTATACCGTGTGTGTAAGCACACAATTCTACGAGGATATAGGAAAAAAAAAAAAAAAAATTAAAAACAATAACAGTATTTTTTATTTTTTTGTTCTAAAACTAAAAATCAAGTGCATTAATTCACAGTGATATATATATATATATATATATATATATATAAAAGCAAAATTCAGATTTATCAACAACTTGAAGCATATAAAATTCAATGTAAAATGGAAATTTCTGAGAAAAAAATAGAGAGGGGTTCACAGTTCTTACCTCGGATCAGGTTGAAGAAGTGAATGAAAAACTGATTGTTAATTGCTGGTAGATCTTGTGCAAAATGATGAAATGGATGTCTAGATCGATCGATGAATTGAAGTTGAAGTAGTTTTCTGAAGCAAGAGCGTGAATGGGTTAGAGAAAGAAAAGGAATTGGATTTATATATATATATATATATATGAAAAGAAGGTAGCTAGGGATTGCAAATAGAAACAAGGAAATGGAATTTGAAAGGTAGAGAGCTAGTCCGAGTCTGACCTTTTTCTTGAATATTCCAGAAATGTGATACCCAGATGATAGAGGACACCAATTAGTATCCTATCTAACTATATACTTGGAGAGAGAGAGGGCTTTCTGGTGGGGTGGGCTTGGGAAAGTGAGGGTGAGAAAGAGAAGACCTTTTCTAATGTGAATGAATCAGTAAGTCAAACTAGTCTTTTTCTTTTTTTTAATAAAAAGTGGTAGTCCCACACTTTTTTAGATTATAATAATGATAATATAAATGGTTTTCACATTGTGCAATAGTTCAAAACATATTATTTTCGACAAATTAAATTCATCTCCTTCACAAATCTTCTTTTTCATTTGTCCGATCTCTTGTACTTATAGAATTTTTAATTATGTTTTTATCCATATATACATATATGGTATTTTAATATAATAAGATCTTTCAAAAGTAGAATTACAATTTAAAAGTTACAAAATTACTGACATTAATATTTTATTTTTTCGTAGTTGACATTTGTCAAAAAAATATGTCATTTACTTAAAAATCTTAAGGAAGACAAGTGTAATTTGACTTACAAGGTGGAGAGATCTTGACAAAATCTCGAAGGTTGATATAATTTATCGTAATATTATTGATCTCCAATCATTGTATATTTATTTTTTTTTTTTTTTTGTATAAGTATGATGTGTTATGATAGATTTATATAAAAATTTTGGATTATTTATTTTTAGCTGTTTTATACTTTTGTGTAAATATATATTCCCCAATAACAATCAATCAATATCATACCTAAACCCACATAATTTTTACAACCTAATTAATATAGGGTTAATTAGTTAATGAAATGAGAAAGGGCAGTGTATCTTAACAAACTGTTGAAAAAAAAAAAAAAAAGTATACATCATACGTGACGGTATATATTTTACAAAAAATAGTGTTTTAATAGGCTGCTGGAGATGTTCTACCATACCAACCAAATATTATTCAAATTGTGTGATATACAATATATTTTTTAGGGACAAGTGTAGAAAATACTCTTAAAGTATATTTCGCGTAGCACTTTTACTCTTATTTGAAAAAATACGCAAAAATACCTCTAATCTTTTTCACATTGTGCAAAAATAACTCCTCTGATATAAATTAGTGTTGTAATACCCGTTTTGTCCTTTTAATCTTGTGACATGCCCAAGGTGTATATATGCTACTAATCTCATAGTATAGGAGTGTTATGTGCACATTACCTTATATATATATATATATTTTTGAAACATTTTTCTCTATATATATCTCTAAGCATTTTTTTTTTTACTTGAGAATTTGTAGAATAATGATTTGAATTTTTTTAGATTCTAGTTTACTCTTTTCTACTAAAATTATTTTTTCTTTATTTATTTATTTTTTTGTACCAACACTGTAAAAAAAAAAAAAAAAATTCCCAATATTAGTGTGCACTAGTTTTCGGAGTTTGGAAAAAAATTGTTTTCTTTAATTTGCACTTTATTTTTGTTTTTGTTTTTTCTTTCTATTTTTATTTTTACTTTTATTTTATACTTTTATTTTATACTTTTATTTTTATTTTATATTTTTATCTTTACTTGTCCATTGCTGACGTCCTCCAATAGTGTCATTTTCGGTCATTTTATAAAATTATTTATTTTTATATATTTTATAAAATATTTCAGTAAGGGTAATTTAATCAACTTATGGTTTAAATTTGTCAGAGGGACCTATTTGCACCAGATTGAAACTTTAGGGGTGTTTTTTGCACGAGAGCGACATCCTCCAATAACATCATTTTCGGTCATTTTACAAAATTATTTATTTTTATATATTTTATAAAATAATTTAGTAAGGGTAATTTAGTCAATTTAAGGTTTAAATTTGTCAGATGGACTAATTTACACCAAATTGAAACTTTCAGAGTGTTTTTTTACACGTGAGGGATGTGATATGCACTGTAAGCATATTTTAGGGGTATTTAAAAAAATTTATATTTTAAATATGTGTCTAAATTATATTGCGCCACATCAGTTAAGAGGATAAAATTCAACCTCCCATAATCCTTCATTTTGGCTTTGACGTGAATGAATTTCACATCTCCTAATAAATAACTCATTTGAATGTCTTTGCAATTAAGCCTTTCAGTATTAATGTTACTGGCGCAAATTCAAGTTTGAGAGTTTGTTTCTTTGTTTTCCCTGGCCGACCTATCTAGAAAGTCAATACCCTCTCATTGTTGGATTAAAATTGACAATGTCCTTTATATATATATATATATATATATACATATAAAGAGGCAATATCCGTACTATACTTTTTAACATTTGTATTATAATCTTAAATGAAAATTATTTTATTCTTAACTTTATAAGTAAATAATTATTACTTTTTAAATGACTAAATGCCTTTCAATATTTTATCTTCTTATCTATAATCTTTAATATTTTAAGTATTTTTTGACAAGACAAATAAAATTAAATAAAATTTTGTTTTAAGGGACCAAATTTTATTTATTGTTATGTTGAATAAATTGTATCTTTTGATTGGAATAAAAAAATAAAAAGTAATTATTTAAAAAATTATATCTTTTGACATTAAAAAAAAAATTGATTATCTTTTGACTGGAAATGACATTTATAACATTAACTTCAAATGTCAATAATTATTCTTTTTAAAATTATATAAGTACCCTTACATATATGATTATCTCGGACCCAAAAAAAAAAATTATACTTCATAATAAGTTATCTGCTTTGGCAAGACCTAAAAAATAAAAAGTTACACCTGTCGAATAAATTATCTCTTTGACAGCACTAAAAAAAAAAGTGTGTTTTTTTACCTTTTCTTAGTTGATAACACCTCCCTCCAAAGAATTGGATTGGAACCTTAAACCTGATATTTCTTGAGGCATCACCGTCAAGTTCCAGTGAATAAATTATTTATCTTTGACACAACCCAAAAAAACAATAATAGTAAAAAAGTATAGTATGTCAAAAAAAAAAAGGTATCTTTGTTGAATAAATTATCTTTTTAACAAGACTCAAGAAAAAAATACCAAAAAAAGGATCCCAAAAAAAAAAGTTATCTCTATTAGATAAATTATATTTTTTGACGGGACAAACAATAAATAAATAAATAAATGAAGTGAATACGGTTAAAAAAAAAAGTTAAATTTATAATATAAAAGGTAGTTATGGTATTTCAAAATAAAGAATGATGTGTTACTCAGTATATACCTTCCTCTCATTTAGAGAAAAAGGTGAATGGATTTTATCAGTTTTTGGACCTTCTGATTGGTTGAAAATCAATTACAAAAGTTGAAGTAACTAGTAATTAATACCTGTTTCCTCTTTTTATGAAACTTTAAAACTTAAATTTTTAGGACGAAAATTATTTCCTCTTTCTTTTCTCTCCCACCTGTATTATACACACACACACGCACAAACATATGTATAACCTTCATTATTTCCTATGCGTGTTCAATAGCTTTTAGTAACTGTTTAACTCTTTTTTATTTTTTTATTATTATTTTTTTTTCGCTCCTCTCTAAAATCCATGTTCTATGGGAAGAAGGAAAAAAAACAAAAACTCTTGTGAATAGATTCATTCCTTTCCTTTTTCTTTTTTTCAATTCTTTCATCTTTGTCTTTTATGTTGCATTTAGTGTGTAGGAATGGAATATCCGTTCCAATCATTCCTATGTTTGAAATACAATTTAAAGTGAGAATGATCATTCCATTGAAATGAAAATTAATTTCTTTAAATGAAAATACCGTTAAACGTATGGGAATGGTTATTCCATTCCTAAGTAATTTTTTAAAAAAAATTAATTTTCCAAAAAACTTTCATGTTCCAAATCCAAAGACCACTACCACCATCGCCACTGCTTCCTCCCGACCCTCCCCCACCCCCGGCCACAACCACCGTCGCTTCCCCCTGATCGACCACCACCACCACTACCACCTTCCTCCATAACCACCTCCACTTCCATTACCTTCCACTACCACTATCACTGCCACTGAACCCTTGTTGCTGCCTTTAACTGCAACACCATTGCCGCCTCCACTACCTTCCACCACGACCACGACCATGGACTTCCATTAATGCCACCGCCTTCGACCACTACCACCTTTGACCACCACCATCATTGCCACCACCCTTGTCACCATTACCGCTTCCATCGTCACCACCTACACCATTGCCACTTTACACCACTGCCACCATTGTCGTCGCCTTCCACCACCACTACACTGTTGTTGCCTCCACAGCCTTCCACTGCCTCCGCAACCTCCACCACTATTGCCACCTCTATCGCCACCGAGTTCCACTATCGTCCCTGCCACTGCCATTGACTTCCACTGCTACCACCACCGCCTTCCACATTCCACCACCACCGCTGCCACCAACTTTCACCACCGCCACCACCTTCCATCACCATTGTCGTCACCTTCATCGCCTTCCACCGCCGCCGCCGCCACCAACTTTCACCACTGCCACCACCTTCCATCACCATTGTCGCCACCTTCATCGCCTTCCACCACCATCACCATCACCATCACCTCCACTTCCTTCCACCACCGCTGCTGCCACCAACTTTCACCACCATCACCACCGCCGCCTTCCACCACCACTACCATCGCATTCCACCACGCCACCTTCACTACCACCGCATTCCACCACGCCACCTTCACTACCACCACCTACGCCACTATCTCCTTCCACCACCACCACCATGCTACTACTACTACTACTGCCACTACCGCCGCCTTCACCATCGCCACCACTACCGCCTTCCACCTCCACCACCTATACTACTATCGCTTTCTACCTCCACCACCATCTTCACCGCCAACATCTCTTTTTAAAAAATTATATAAGAATGTTATTTTGTTAATTTAATTTATTTGTCAATAAAAGGAATATTTTGAATAATTCAATTTGAAATTCATTCCATTCTAAATTTTAAATTAGTCCAACAAAACATTAGAATGGTTATTGTTATTCAATTCCAACACATTTTATATTTGCAACCAAATAATAAAATGAGAATAACCATTCCATTCCTACTTGCATTCCATTCCATTCTTGTAAACCAAACGCTATAAACACCATATTGTGAATGGATTACCAACCATCTTCATCTCTCCTTCACTGT